CAAATGCCTTAACCACTGCACCACCAGAGCCTCTGTGAAAAGGTTAAAAAAAAAAACAAAAAAAAACCTCACTGCCCTCGAGTTGATTTGACTCATAGTGACCCCTCCTTGGGTTTCTGAGGCGGTATCTCTACGGAAGTAGATTGTTCAATCTTCCTTCCGAGGAGTGGCTAGTAGATTTGAACCACCAGCCTTCTGGTTAGCAGTCAAATGCCTTAGGCATTAAGTACACCTTAAACACAGTGTTCTCCAAAGAGTACTCTGAGGAACATAGCTGTGGTCCTCCAGCTAACGTAGGGCAATCTAGTCGAGGGTTCTGAGAGCATGGGGGACAACAATAGACAGACTACCTTATGTCAGGAATTCTCAACTCCTTAAAATTCAGGAGCAATCATTCTCAAAATGTGGCCCCAGACCAGCAGCATCAGGATCAGCTGGAATTTATGAGGTCCCAGACCTTCTCCAGAGCTACTAAATCAGAAACTCAGGGTAAGGGCAGCAATCTGGAGTTTAACAAGTCCTCCAGGGGATTCTGGCATATGCAGAAGTTTGAAAACCATTGCTGAAGAGTTTTCAAGCCTTCCAAATTAATTTTGACCACCAAACAGAAGCCCTTTCTGAGGGAAACACCACTTTATGCTGTGTGCTAACTCTTGCTCCTATTTTATGACCAAGTTTTAACAAAAAAAAAAATGATACTTTAGCAAATATAATTAAAATTTTCCAGATTTGTCTTTTACATGGTGTTTTTTTTCTCGTACATTTCCCAACAAATTTATTTTCGAATGTAACATACCTCTGATTCTATAACAAAATTCAGTGGAGGTAAATAGGGCTGATATACAAAAATGTTTTGTTGGCATCGGCTACTAGGATGATATACTTTGAAAATTTCTAAGAAGTCCAGGGGCTTTTAAGTAGCATTAGTGAATGTGAGGGGGGAAATCCTATTTTCTATGACATGGAGCCAACTTTATTTTTGAGCTGGAGTAGCAATAAGGAAGTATGGTATCTTTTCCCAACAAAACTCAAGGTTTTGGTTTCCAAAGTCATCTGCTTGAGCTCTCTCTACTTCTTTCCTTTGTATCTTTTTATTATAACCTTTCTTCCTCAGTACAAATGACTCACTCATCCCTTCCCACTATGGCCCATCTTGGGCACAACTTTTCTTTCCTCCACTAAAGCTTCTCATCCCTGATGGTGTCCAGTCTGCCTTGCAGTTCCCTCCTGTCTCTCCAGGCTCTTGCTTTTCTTCAAGCATCCTCAACAAGGTGGCTTGCTCTTCCTTTCCCTTCACTGTCAATTTCATTCAAGGAGTGCCACATACCTAATTTTGCCTAACCTCAAACACAGTGGGTGGCCTGTCTGTGAGACCAAGAGAGGGGTTGCTGAGAGGTATAGCTATGAGACCACACTTCCTTCCCTCACCACCTTCCAACAAAGCCTCTGTCCTGGCCCTCAGCTCACTCTCCCCTGTTTCTTGCAGGGCTCCCAGCCATTGCCTGGGCCTCAATGCTTGCTGAAGCATCTTGGCTTGATTTCAAGCCTGTACATCCCACTGGCTGCCAGAGCTGGCCACCAGATGCTCCACCAAAAACCAGCTGCTGGTAAGTTGATTCTAACTCATGGCAACCCCATATGTGTAACAGTAGGACAGTGCTTTATAAGGTTCTCAATGGCTGTGATCTTTCAGAAGTAGATTGCCAAGGCTTTCTTCTGAGGCATCTCTGGTTGGACTTGAACTTCTAATCTTCAGACAGCAGCCAAGTGTGTTAACTGTACCATCCATGGACTTCTAAGATGTTCCATGTTGTTGTTGTTGTTATTATGTGCCGTCAAGTCAGACCCGACTCATAGTGACCCTTCCTTGGGTTTCTGAGGTGGTATCACTATGGAAGTAGATTGCTCAACCTTCCTTCTGAGGAGTGGCTGGTGAGTTCAAACCACCAGCCTTCAGCTCCATAGGGCTCTCAAAGTCAACACACCCCCAACTGGATGCATCTTCCCCTTCAAATCTCTTCTTCCCCAGTTCTTCTTTTTAGTGACACTCCACTTTCCCTACTAGCCAAATGCACAACTTCACTGGTGCCTTGGGTTCTCCCCTCCCTCTCTGCACACTGTGACCTGAACTTCAACTGGATCTCAAGCTGTGTCACTCCTACATCCCACAGTTCTCCCTATTCTCCTGGCTACTATCTTCATTCACCCCCTCCCCACCCCTGGGTCCCTCTTCTAACCCCTAAAGACTGCTAGATGAGCTTCCTGCACTGCAGCTCCAAATCTACCACTCCTGCTCACAAAACTTCTCTCAACTCCCCATATTTCACTGAACATTTGAAATCCAGATGAACAGTGGCTGACTCCAAATCATGGTAGCCATTCCAGATGCTGCTTTTCCAGGAAGACAGCCATGGGATGAGTGAGGTGTCCTGTAGTCCCCTTCCCACAATCCCCTCAGGGAGCTGGCACCTCCTCAATCTCATCTGATGGGTGGTACCTACTGGTGGCCTATGAGGTACAGAGCAGCCTGGTCTCCATGTGAGGCTGGCCCATCACCTCTCTCAGAAGTCAGTACCATTTCTGCACTATCCTGCTGTAGTGAGAAGGAAGCTCATTTTCTCAATTTCCTGTAATGAGGACATGTTCTTATCAGTCTGGCCAAGCCTAGAGCCATGCCACAAATGCTACATGGTCAGTAAACACAAGTTACTCTTCCTTTAAAGCCACTAGGAAATGTCACAACCCCTTTGTTTCTTTGAGCAGGCCATGCCATTTCATACCTTTGCACATGCTTCCCTCTTGGCTTAGGGTAGCCCTTTACACTTCTCTGGGCCCCACTTCTGTCTACTTGTCTAATAACAAGTGAGGTCAGATGTCCCTACTGCAACAAAGCCTTCCTGGACCCCATCAATGGCATAAAGCTCCAAGAGAGTGAGGCTCCCTCAGTGTGCACCCTCTATAAGCCCTGGAGGGCAGAGCGACCAGAGGGATCAGGTATTTGGTAGGGTGTGATGGTGCAGAGGTGTAGATCCTGGCTGGCCTGACCCTCTTCCCATTACCAAGAAAGGATGAAAACAAACGCTGTCCTTGTTGAGAATCTTCTCTGTGTGGGGTTCACATAGGCGGTCCCTGAAGAGGATCTGCAGTCTCATCTTTCAAGAAAGGTACAGCCCTTTCTCCAGGTTCCTCCCTCTCTCTATCCATCCATTTATTCATCCCTCCTTCCATCCCTTTGTACATCCTTCCCTCCCTCCTTCCTTCCTTCCATCCTTCTCTCCCTCCCTCTCTCTTTCCATGCATCTCTCCCTTCCTCCATTCCCCACTCCTTCCATCCATTTATCCTTTCATCCATCCATCTTTGCCTCTATCTATCCATCCATTCACCATCCAATCATTCCTCCCTCCATCCATCTATTCATCCTTCTGCCCATCCAGCATTACTAAGCACAAGTGCTACTTCTCCCCCACAGCAGCATCATGCTCCCCTCGTCTTACCTCTCCATCCTTATCATGCTCTCTCCAAAGACCCTTCTGTTTTACTTGTCTCATTCTGCTCTGACTCTGACCTAATAAAGCTACATGCCTTTTAGCATCAAAAATGCTAATCCCTTGGAAATGTTTCAAGGTAGCTAGATAGTGGATACTGCTTCATTATGAATCTAGATGCTTGATTTTAATTTTTCTCTCCAGTTTGATCTGGATTGTAGCAGGGGGAAAAACTCCACACCTTTGAAGCTGAACAGACTTGGATTCAATTCCTGGTTTTGCCAATTAAATTCCTTGACCTTGCTCCATCTGAGCCAGAGTTTTCCACAGCTGAAAACAGTCAATAATATTACCTACTTCCCAGGATTGCTGTTAGGGTTAAAATAGATAACTCTCTATAGAAAGCACCCACACAGTGTCTGGCACTAAATAGGGGCTTGATATACAACAGTCCCTTCCAGAGATAAATACATATGGTCTTTCTGACTCAAGGGAATTCCCTACAGAGGTTGATTGCAAGGCTGTGGGGTATGTGTGTGTGTGCATGTGTGTGTATGTGTGTGTCTAGAGTTCTTCCAATATGTCCAAGGGAGCCAGGCTTTGGCTTAGGGCTGGGAGTGTGAGACCACTGGAAACCTGCCAGACCATGGCATCCTGTGGCTTTCCTTTGATAACCCTGACCAAATGAGGTACCTTTCTCCAGGAAAGCAGCTCCTTGGTTATACAGATGTCATCACAGAAGACTGACCAGCCTTATGTTTCTTAACCCTGTCTTCATCTTGGAGATGCAAAAGTCACTCCACCCTTAGAGATCTTTCCAGTATTTTTCAGACATGCATAATTATGAGAATCCCCTAAGGTACCAATGTGCAAGTTCAGATGCCCCTCCGCTAGCCCCCTGCTAGTGTGGGGCCAAGAAGTCTATATTCTTAACAAGCACCCTGATGAGTCTCATGATTTGTAAGCTTTAAAAATATAACTTGCAACAATTCAAACTCAATGCAAGGCACACAGTATCTTTGCCACTGGTTTGCAGGGGACTTGGGCAAGGGGACCTTCTCATTCCTCAAGCTCCCCACCTTTAATATATGGAGGGTAACTGTGTCTGCCCCATGGAGTTGCTGTGATGGGTGAGGAAGGGTGCTGTCTAGGAGACAGCAGAAGTGTCTGTATCATTATGACTGCAGAGCCCCTCCCATGCTGAGGCTTAGCCTAGACAATGTCCACTCTTGAATTGGCCGTGAAAGAGTCACGTGGTAGGGTCACATGCTTGGGATGGAGCATTCCAAGTATAGACCTGAGCTTCAGGTCTGAAAGCACAGCTACTATTTTCCTCCAGGTGGAACTTTTCTGAGCTTATCCTGTGACTATACACTGAGAAGTCACTCTGCAGCCAAGATACAAGCCAATATGTTTGGGGACAGTTGCACTCAGTAGAAAAGGGGTGAGGGACCTGCCTCCCACCCCAGCCCCTGCTGGGGTTGCCCAGAGTCCCTGAGTTCTCATGAACTTACGCTTTGGAGTAGTTCAGAACAAAGTCCACTCCTTTCTCACTGTCAAACTGTATGTCCCGAGGTAAATCCTTGTGACACTTGGCATCAATACTTAAGGGGAAGCCAGGGTTCCACTCCATCCACCTGAGCATGAAGAAGGAGAAGAAATTTGGGTTAAGCATCTGGCCTTTGCATTGCTACCCTCAGATGAAGGCAGCAGTTGATGTGTCCACATGTCAACATGTCATAGCCTGGGCACGTGTGGGTGCCAGGGGCATGAACATTATTGTACCTTGAGCATCACAGCGGGAGCCTGAGCCTCCCTAAACTAGAGGCAGGCATTTACCAAAAAGGGCTTGGGAACTGTACGTGTGCACCAGTGAGTGAAAAGAGTGAATAAGGAAGCCTCAGATGACTCCATTTGTTTGAGGCAATGTCTCCCACTGCACTGGTAGGAGAAGTGGTCATGACTGCCCCATCCCACTTGTCCATGGGCATACCACATACCACTGGTTCAGCCAGTGCTCATGTTTTGTGTGTGGTGGTCGGGGGAAATGGGACAGTTTTCATGCCTCACTGGTTGGGCCCACAAGGCAGCAATGAGGCTGAGTAAGGACTCCCAGGGCACAGATCACTGGAGGTCTGCCCTCTCCCTAATCTGCCAGCGAGTCATGGGTACAGAGGTTGTTATAATAATTCTGTCTCATGGTGATCCCATGTGTGTAAAGAGTAGAACTGTGCTCCATAGAGTTTTCAATGGCTGATTTTTTGGAAGTAAATTGGCAGGACTTTATTCCAAGCCATCTCTGGATGGACTCAAACCTCCAACCTTTTAGTTAGTTGTGAAGTGTGTGAACTGTTTGCACCACTCAGTGACTCCAGTAGATCTCCAAAATGGACCCAGTCATTTGACAGTCCCATTAGTGTTAACTATCAATTTAAAGAAGAATTTTCTCTATGCCCCTGGGAAGTTCAAAGGCCCCAATTCATTTTAATTCAGTTAATCCAGTGGGGCTGGACTTTTTCAGTATGTAAACATTGAGCCCAGTGAGGAGAAGGGTGCTAACAAATGCCATTCATATGCTCTTACGTTCAGCGTTCACTTGGAAAGATGTGAGCCACATTCCCTCTCCACAGATAAGGCCTCCCCTCCTGAATTTCCTAAGGGCAACAGTGCTAATGGCCCTGCCTTGAGGGGCTAGGAGAAGATGGCCTTCCTAGTACTGGGATCTGGAGAACTAGATTGCTGTCTTCTTCTGCAGAGATAAACAATGTGGTGAAACCAAACACTTCTGTCCTTTCCTCTGGCTGCTTGCTGACAACATGACCTGAATCAGAGCCAAAGGACTTCATACCATAGACATGAAGAGACGAAGAAAAAAACCCATAAGCCATGGAGGAAGATCTAGTTGGACAACCAGGTAGAAATAAAGACGTGCAGAATACATTTATTTTAAAAATAATGAGAATTCTTTTTTAAAAAATACTATTTATTTTGTTGGTGTTGAGAATCTACACAATAAAATATACACCAATTCAAAAGATTCTACATGCACAACTCAGCGGCACTGATTACATTCTTCAAGTTATGCAACCATTCCCACTCTCCCTTTCTAGACAGATGGTTCTTCCACCGTTAACATGAACTAACTGCCATCTAATTTTAAATATAATGAGAATTCTTAAGGAGATGCAAGTTGAATAGAAAAATACTTTCTGCAACAACAAAACATGATTTCTGACTTGAAAATTTCAATAGAGAAATGGAAAAAGAGAAGAATCCCTGCTGAGAACTGAATAGTCATCTGGAAAATAAAATTTATTCACTCCACAAATAATTATGGAGCACTTACTATGTGTCAGGCACTGTTTTATACAAAATGGAAGAAAATGGAACACAGCACAAAGCGAAACCACAAAGAATGGAACAGCATGAATGAACATATGAGACATGGAAATCTGATACAGAAGATTTAATATGCAAAGAGTAGAAATTCCAAAAGGAAGGAGGGAGAATATAGAGAGGTGAAAAATATCAAAGAAATAAAAGAAAAAAAGATTATTAAGCTGAAAAAGACCTGCATTTTCTGATTGAAAGCAATCCCTAAATTCAAGGTAGAAAAGATGGGGAAAAAAGCACATTTAGATATCTACTATTAAATCTTAAAAACATGTCAAAAAGAGAAGAGAACATGAGAGAGAGAGAAAAGGAGAAAGGGAGAAAGAGAGAGAAGGAGCTAGGAAGAGGGAGACAGACACCCTCCACAATCTTCTGAGAAAAGAAAAAGAATCAAGCTCTCATTAGATTCATCATTTGCCACACTGAAAACGAGAAGACAGTGGTAGTGTTTGTAGAATATCTTTTAACGATCATTACCTAAGATTCTTGTAAGAAGTCAAGCAATCAGAGAGGACAGGGGAAAAAAATTTTTTTTTTTTTTTTATAAGGAAGGGCTCAAATATTGCCTCAAAGAACCACATACACTTTCTGAGGAAATTAATTGAAGTTCAGTCAAATAAATTTTAAATTAGAAAGAACCAAGAACTTCCTAAGTATAGTAAAGACTATTTATCAGAAAACAACAGCAAGTACCATATTCAACAAACAAAGAAAAAATACCAAAGTCATTATCTTAAAAATTCAAAGGTAAGAGAAGGATGCTGATTGGTATTACTATTCCTTGTTTTCTGAGTTTCAGTCATGCAATAAAAAAAGAATATCAGTAGTATAAATAATAGAAAACAAGAGTCAAAAGTACCATGATTTAGATAATATGATTGAATAACTAGGTAATTTGAAAGACTCAATTAAAAAAATGATTAGAGCAAATATGCATTCAGTAAGGCATCAATGAAAGGTGTTGTTGTTGTTGTTATATGCCATCGAGTAGGACCCCCGACTCATAGCGACCCCTCCTTTGGTTTCTGATGCGGTGTCACAATGGAAGTAGATTGCCCCATCTTCCTTCTGAGGAGTGGCCGGTGGGTTTGAACTGCCAGGCTTCTGGTTAGCAGTCAAGTGCCTTAGGCACTACGCTACCAGAGCTCCCTCAATTAAAGGCAAGTATTAAAAATAAATAAATAAATATTTTATCTTGTCAAAACAATAGTTATTGAGAAACAGAGAAATATCCCATTCAGAATGACAAAGGCATAATATCTCTTCGTGTGAAGTAACTCATGCACAGCCACCCCCAGTCTCCATCAGTGGAAGTATGTGTGTTGCTCTGATGATGAAAATCTTTCAGCAGAGCTTCCAGACTAAGACAGACTAGGAAGAAGTTCTGGCGATCTACTACTGAAAATCAGACAATGAAAACACTATGCATCATAAAGTTTTAACTCACAACTGATCATGGGGATAGCACATTTTTTTCCACTGTGCATGGGGTCACCATGAGTCAGGGGCCAACTCAACAGCAGCTAACAGTGACAGCATAGAATAACTAGGAAGATAGAAGATCTGCATGAGGAAAACAAACAATTCTCTGGAAGGACATTACACTAGGTCTACATGGGAAGAAATATATGCTGTGTTCTTGGGCAGAGAGATACAATATCATAAAGATGATAATATATAACACATTTATATGTAATTCAAAGCAATTCCCATCATGGAACTTGAAAAAGAACAGTGAGAGAGTAAACAGATGTTAAAACTTATAAAGTTGTGATAATCAAAAGACTATGGTGCTGGGTTCTGGGACAGGAATACAGAGTAACATGTCAAGTTCAGGAACTGACTTAGGAAATGTAAGATTGTAATACAAAACCAGCAACACTTGCTGTGTGCTTTCTATGTGCCAAACATAATTCTAAGTGCCTTCATGGTTTAACTCATTTAATCCTCTCCAAAACCTTATGAGATAGAGACTATTCCCTCCATTTTACATACAAGGAAACTGCAGCCGAGAAAGATTAAGATCACAGAATAAGTGGCAGTAAGTGGTGTTAGACCCAGGTGCTGGGGACTAGAGTCCATGCCCACCACCACGATCCTATGTTGCTCTGGATGATGTGGGGATATCACAGGTCAGTGTGGAATAACGCATATGTGACAAATGACTCTGGGAAACTCTGGTCCTTCCTTCACATTTTGCATAAAAACACTGCTGTTACAGTATGGGGATTGCAGTGAATGTCACAAAACAAAATTTGTATGGATTGTTGAATGGAAAACCAATTTGCTCTGTAAACTCTCACCCAAATCACAGTTAAAAAACAAAACAAAACAAAACAAACACGGCAGATAAGGCAAAACTTTGAAGTTAAGAGAAAAATTATAAAAGTATTATGCAAAAATATAGGGGATTTTTTTTTGTATAAAAGTAGGTGAGGAGGGCTTTCTTAAGCAAACCTAAGGGTCAAAAGGAAAAGCAATGCACATAGTTAAGTAAATAGAGAACTAAAACCTTCTTTGTTAAAAAAGCAACAGAAAACAAATTATATATGCAATAAGTATAACAAAAGGCTGACTAATTCTCATGAAGGGCTCCTTTAAAAAAGACCCCCAAAAAACCAACAAAAACAAAACACACATACACACATACAACAAAACAAAAGCTCCACATAAAAATAAATTATATAGATAGGTAATTCAAAGAAGAAACGATGCATATGGATAATAACTGACTGAAAAGATACTTAACTCACCTGTGGACAGGGGAATTCAGGTTAGAAAAACAATGAGGCCTTCCTTGGGAATTATTACATTGTCAGACAGATTGCAGATCAACATCCTCAGGTATAAGTGGGTAAAAGTGTACTTTCATATATATAATTACAAACCAAACTCACTGCCATCGGGTTGACTCAAATCATAGCGACCCCTCCTTGTGTTTCCGAGGCACTATTCTGGGGAAGTAGATTGCCCAATCCCTTCTGAGGAGTGGCTAGTGAGTTTGAACTGCCAGCCTTCTAGTTAGCAGTCAAATGCCTTAGGCACTATATGCCACCAGACCTCCCATATATATAATAAGCAGGACTGAAAATTACTATAAAATTTTGTGAAAGTATGTTTGCCAGTGTTTCTTAAAATGGAAAATATTGACTTGACCCAGCCATCCAAGTTCCAAGATTTGACCTGACAGTGATTAAAGCACCAATGCATAAAGATGTTTGCACAAGATTATTTCTTCTAGCTC